GAGTTTGTCTTAATTTGACCTATTTATTATTGGATTTATTCGAATTTAAGAATGTGTTAGAATCTAGTAAAATAACTTGATTATAATTTAGAAACGAGTTAAGGACAAGTATAAGTTGTTTCAACTCATCTCTTCCTTACTCTTGGTCAAAACAAGCATTGCCAAAATCTTTTCTTTCTAGAAACTTGGAAGATTTTAAATTAGTAAGGATGATTATACAAATTGGGTAATGGTATGGTTGTTAACCAATCCTTTAAATATTGTTATAAAAAACTAACCTTTTAATATTTTATAAATATTAATAACAAGAAATATATCTAATGTCTTAAAATATAAAATTTAACCACTTTTGTATTTAACAAATAAAAAAGACATTCCATTATAAGAAATAAGTTTAAATTATTTTTTTACATATAATTTAAACTATTCACACACATCATATAATTTGTAAACTAGTATTTTAATATGTGATAGATAAACATTTATTGGGTTAAATATATATTTTTTATCCTTATAAATATGTAAAAGTTTGTTTTAATCTCTCATTTTTAAAATGTCAACTTTTGGCTCTATTTTTTTAAAATATATTAAATTTTATTTTTATCACAATCCAATTTAACAATGATGTTCAATCTATTTTTGAGCCATTAAATTAGCATACAGGTATGATGTGTTTGGTGATTGAGCAGAGCCATTAAATTGGATTCGTAAAATTTATGTTGGAAATAAAATTTGATAAAAATAAATGGACTAAATTATACTTTTGGTCATTATATTTTTGTTAATTTGTAATTTGGTTCTCCTATTTTAAAACATGGATATTTAGTCTTCTTATTTTTAAAAATATAAAATTTTGGTTCTATCATCAATTTGATTTTTTTGCAATCACAAAATCAGATCCTTTCCATTTTAATTATCTCTTGAATACATTGTGGAATAACATGAAAAATGTGTAAACCACCAAAAGAATTAGAATTCCTAGCTAAGTTGTTAGCCACCTTTTTAGTTTGTCTTCCAACATATTATAATATGATATTAGGATACAAATTTAGCACCTCCCTAATATGCATAATAATCACACAATCAATTTAATGTTTATTAATCATTAAATTTTGTTGTTGTTTGGTGACCTATTATCGATTAAGTGGGGTGATATGTAATCGTAAAAATTAAATAAAAAAAAAGATATAAAAGATCCTCCTTTGTATCTCTTTAATAAGTGATTTATATTTATTTTATTGATAAATCTTATTTACATTTTTTTAGTTTTTTTTATCTTTAAATGTCATATTATTGAATGTCATATCACTTAAGTATGAGAAAACATTACAACTTAATGATTAATAAATGTAAATTTTGATGGAAAAACCAAAATTCAGTACTTTTAAAATTAAAAGGACCAAATGCCACTACTTTAAAATAAAGGAATTAAAATTGCAAATTGATGAAAATATAGGAATCAAAAGTGTAATTTAACCTAATAAATACTTAAAAAAGGAAACTTCATAAGTTTTATAATTTAAGATTTTAGAGAAAAGTTATAGAGAAGGACTCTAGAACTCATGTTTTTTCATTTGAGCTTCCGATCATCCCTAAGACTATGGTTCTTCTACAAAGCTTGAGATTGATGTATCTTGAAGTTAAAGAGGAATTGTAGAATTGAGTTCTTAAAGATCAAAGCTCTTGCTCTAGTTGAGAGCTGCAAAGAGTATTTCTTTTTTTACCTCAATTATATATGTAAAAGATACTTAATTGTAATTTATATACACTATATGAATGTTATTGTTAATTAATGTTTTATTGATCTTTGAAATGTTGAGATTAAAGTTGTTCGTATGTTGGAATTTTGAGGGTGTAATCTTATTGCTTTGATTTTGTGCCCAAACCTCATTGCATGTTTTTTTTACGGTATATATATAAATAAAAAACTTATGCAATAAATACTTGTAAATATATACGCTATATTATAATAAAATAATCAATTAATTTTTTTAAAAACTTATTTTAAGTTTATAATAAATAATTTATATTATGATATATAGTTATTTTTAGTTATAGTTAATTTTTTAAAATATTAAAATTAATTTAAGAATAAAAAAGGATATTTTGAAGAAGATACGAAATTAAAAAGAAATTCTAAAAAAAAATTTATTAAAAAAGAATTGCTAAAATTTGTTCTTGTTAAATAATAACTCTTAAAAATACTATATATAATTATTAGAATCCTTGTCCTTTATCTATTCGATTCGTATCTTATTAGACCAATGTATATATACATATTTGTGGGTAGTGTGGATTTATTCCTTCCTTAAAGAATGTAGTGGTTTGGTTCACTTGGTCGATGGGTTGCTTTTATATATAATTAATCTTGTCACTTTAAGCTTTATTGGAGACAAGCACTTAGGTTGAAGAGAAAAAACAAACTTATTGTCATATGAAATCACTAGTTATTTGACAATATGTTGTACCTTTTAAGTGTTGTTTTTTTTTTATATCAATGGGAAAAAACCTTTTGTGTGAACCTATTATTCGTGGAAGAACCTATGTCATTGGTCACATCACTCGGATCCTATTGATCCTATTATTTACTTGCCACCCTCTTTTATAAATAAGATATACAAAATGTCTTCAAGTGCGAGCTAAAGTTTTTAATAAAAAAAAAAGTGGAATTCTCGTTCTAGAGCATTGTTTATAACAGAATAAAAGTATTAAATAAAGATTTAATTCATTAAAAATTTAAAAATACTTAATATATTTTCAATAATTTAAAATTTTAAAAGGAAATTACTAAATATTCTTAAACTAATATATTTATAAGATGCTTGTATTAGTTATATTAAGACTAATAGTATATGACAAAAAAATTACAAATTTTAAACCCAAAAGTTTGGTCGTGGGTGTCTGTGAGTTGATCTTACTTGACCCTAAACAAATAACGTCATTTAGCAAAAGAAAAAAAGAATATAAAGAAAATTTCGGATAATACATCGTTAGTTTGAGAAGATGTAAGAACCAAAATTTTCAATATTTCAACTAGATTCATTCTCTTTGGTCAACTAAAATCACATTATGTTGATCAATTTTTGATTGTCAACACTGTATAAATTATGTTTATAAATCAAAAAATATATTATTTATAATAAGTTGAGCCGAATAATGTTAACTAAAATAAATTAAATTTTTTAAAATTATTAATCATTTTCATAATTCTAGATAACTAATAAGCTTTATAAACATATTTTAATTTTGAATAATGATAATATTATACATTCTAATAATTAATAAATAAAATTGTCTTGCTCACTTAATAATTGAATAATGCGTGTAAATTATTGTAAACTTCATCATGATATTAAAATTTGATTTGTTCTCTGGAATAAAAATAAAATAAAATCTAACAACGAATAAAAATTATTTTTTAATTAGGTCTTCGCAGCATTAACCAACTCAAAAGGAGAGTTTTATTCTAAAATATATAAACTTATATATTTCAATTTAAATTTTTTTAGTGTACAATCGTACGACAAAAGGTTAAAATATAAGAAATTGTGGATAATTATCCAAACTCCTCGACAATATAAGACCAATTTTAGTGCTATATGATTCTACATTAAAAAAAACAATTAAAAAAAGTAAACTATGCTTTAAATTAATCATAATTTTACATGAAAAAATTTAGTTTCTAATTGTCGTTTTAACCTTTTATAGTGAAGATGATGGAATTTTATCTTAGATTATTATAATAAAAGTGATTTAAATGACTAGAGAAGACGATCATCACTATTATAAGTTATTGACATTTTAATAATGTTAATACTCAAAACATTACTATACAGTTGACATTTTAATAATATTAGCATCTTAAAGTTTAACAATCATTTGCAGCATAATATTGTTAATAATTAATTTAAATATTAATTTCTCTAGCCACTAACTTTTATTAGCAAATGTGATCTGTCACTATTAAGATGCGTTTGAAAAAAAAAAAGTAAACCCACATTTTTCTTTTCAATTCATTATGATTCTTACTTTTTTATTTTCAGTTTTGGAATACGTGAACAGCTGATTAATGGCTTGCAAACTGGCAATCGAAACATGCACTTAATACAGTATCTAATTTCTTTTTCTGTATTAGAAGGCTTAAAACTGAAATTTAAGAATTTTTTAAGTATATTTATGCCGTACTGCTAAATTTTAAATTAATAGTACTTCATTTTTTATTTAATTTTTTTGTCACCTCATAATTTTCTATTTATGTCAAATAGTTGATTAGAAGTACCCTGGACATTTAAAATAAGTAAACAAATAAAATAACAGTTAAAAATCTTTCACTTTTTTTTTTGGATCAAATTAATATTATAAACATTTTTTCATTCTATATTTCATAAATCTTAAAATTATATTTTTACATTTTTATTGAATAACTAATATAATACAAATGTGAAAAAAAATTACATAAATGTGAAATATGTAATTTAATCATTAGAAAAAATCTATTAAAAAATCTCAATTTATAAATGTATCATAATAACATTTTTTATTTATTTATAAAGAGCAAACCCAATTCTTACAACTTCTAGCTCAATTCCTTCTCTTCTTATTACTAGGTTAACTTTAAGAAGCTAGCGATTTCTTTAAGAAATTTGATTACAATTATCCTCACACTATTAACATGATGATTAATACATTGAAATTAAGATCACATTATTTAAATAATTTTTTAGTTTAATCATTAAAAAAATGATTTTTAACTAAATTCAACTTCTTCTAAATATTCAATCAGATTAATCTAAAATAACTTTTAACTAAATTTTTTTTTTCGTCACTAGAGTATCCACCGTCAATAACAGTGACTAATCTTCTCGCTACGTTGGAGACACTTCAAAAAGTAGGATAATTGACCCCAAAATTTAACACGACTGCTTAGACAAGACAGGATTCGAAAGCTAACTAACTAAATTTTACTTGTTTCTTAGTGAAACCTGATTAGCATAAAACAAAATATTAAGGAATAGTGCAAAATAATTAACACAGCAACTTGATTCCGTTGGTATGCACAATATAAAAGGAAGTGGGCGATTCGAATCCGAAGCGTGGCTCTTGAAGCAACTCACAATGGCGTTCTTTCCCTCTTCGCTCCTCTTCATCTTCATCTTCCTCATCTTAATCTTCGTGTCCTCTCTCTCCAGCGCCAAAACGCAGCGTTTCGCGCGCAGCATTTCCCCGTCATCGCTGGGCCTCGACAAGCCGCAGAAGCTCAGCCACCTCCACTTCTTCTTCCACGACGTCGTCGGGGGGACCAACCGCACGGCGGTGCGCGTGGCGGCGGCGCCGACCACCGACCACTCCCCGACGGGCTTCGGCGCGGTGGTGATGATGGACGACCCGCTGACGGAGCAGGCGGAGGCGGCGTCGCGGGCGGTGGGGCGCGCGCAGGGGATTTACGCGTCGGCCTCGAGGACCGAGCTAGGGTTCCTCATGGCGCTCAACTTCGCCTTCACGGAGGGGAAGTTCAACGGCAGCACGCTCGCCGTCCTCGGCCGTAACGCGGTGGAGTCCGCCGTCAGGGAGATGCCGGTCGTCGGCGGCACCGGCGTGTTCCGGTTCGCCACCGGCTACGCTCAGGCCAGGACGCATTCTCTTGGCGCCTTGGAGGCCGTTGTCGAGTATAATGTGTACGTCTTTCATTATTGAAACTATCATTAAATTTTAGAAGCTTTTTTTTTTTTTTTTTTTTAGAATTAATCATCGATACACTGGTGGTATAAAATTTTTCTACGCTGATAATTAATTATATATTTTAAAATTGCTTATTTTATTATTATTTTATTGAATAAACAATTGATATGACACTATTAAAAAATATGATTAGTTGTCAGTATAAAAAATTTATACTAACAGTGTGTAGATAATTAAATTTTTTTTTATTAAAAAATATTTTTTGTTTTAGTAAAAAATTCTCAAAAGGACTTTCTGTTTGACTGAATCCAATAATTAAGTATGTTTTTGAGAGTTATTACTGAAAATAAAGGGTATTTTATGATAATGAAAATTAACAAAAAAAAAATATGCTTCTAAACTTTTGTTTAAACGTAGTCTTAATCAGAAGTGGAAGCATGTCACGGGGATAACAGTGTGGTGCTTGTTGAACAAGGGTGTTTGGATTTTTGTGTTTTGTGGAATGTGTTGTAATAACTGTGAATAGGATTTCATGTTGGTGAATAAGGGCCAGCTATTGCCCTTTGACTCGAATTACTGTGCTTGAACTGTGATTCCGGAAGACTGTTGGATTTTCTGCATGCTTTTGAAGGACATGTTGTGACTTATTATTATCATATGTTTCATTTTTTCATGTATCTTTATTTTTATTTTGCATCGCTTTTTATGTTCTTTTTTTTTTTCTCCATCTTTTTTCATTTATTATCCTGAAAATGGGGTGTCGGCTTAAGATTTTTTGTAATATAAAAATGGGCATATTTTATAAAATGTTTAGAAGAGAGAAAAGAAATGGATTGGATAAATTCTCAATGTTTTGCAATATAGTCTAAAGGATCTAAAAAAAAGAAAGATGGTAAATAGATAAAAATGACAATGACGATCTAATAGTTAAGGAATAAGTGGATGATTTGAAGAAGAAAAAAAAAATATTTTTAAAATGGACTTTGAAAAAGCCTATGATTAGGTGATGTGGGAATTTCTCCTTTACATGATGAGAAGAATGAGTTTTAAAAAATAATCTTCATCTTGGATGCCAACTCAAAACACCTTAAAGTACTCTTCAATATTTTTATATTTTTCAATGATGGATTCTAAAAGAAAAGAACATTGTTTGCAAATTGTAAGATAAAAATTTGAACATTGCTACTTTTTATTTTAGCACTATGAAAAAGTTGCTTCCTACATGCCTTTCTCATAAACCCTCCTAAGCCTTCAACCACAATAAGAAACAAAAAAGAATCAATAGGATCTCCTTGTCTAAGTCCCTTCTCCATCACAAATTCTCTAACAGGGGATCCATTGACCAAAATAGAAGTTGTAATAGGTTCTAAGCAATATTTTATTCAAGAAATCTACACCTCATAAAAACCCATTCTTCTCATCATGTAAAGGAGAAATTCCCAAATCACCTAATCATAGGATTTTTAAAAGTCCATTTTAAAAATAAAAGATATTTTTTTTTCTCTTCTTCAAATCATCCACTTGTTCCTTGATTAATACCACTCCATCAAGAATGTCCCCGCCCCCCTCCCCCC